ATTTCAGTGCTTGGCCAACAGCTAGATCTGTAATCATATCATGTTTTGTTTGTTCACATTCACGAAACAATTCTAAAGATCTTTTGAATTCCTTCATGTCATTGAGTTTTTTCATTTCGATGCTCAAATTATAGTACGATCTGATCAGATAAATCGACTTCAAATATCGATTACATTGTATTTTCAACATCTTTGCCTTTGCTATTTGATTTGAATGAATGAAAATTTGTACATGAAGTAACGTGTGTGAACGCGAGCTAATAAAATTATTTGATCCAGGTCAAACAAATCACGAAAAATACTTCTGAAAGATGTCACTTGAGGACTCATATAACACCAAATAGTTATCATGGTGTTCGACTCACCAAATGACAAAGTATGCATATTGGAAGCGGGAAACAAATGTTCGCGTTGTTTGACTAGTTCTATTGATAGAATCGTGACGCTTTACTGTTGCCTTCCTTCCTGTAGCTGAGCATCACAAAATATGGTACATCAGTAACTGTGCTTTAAGAAATGGCCATCGAAAAGAATACTTGCCATAGTATGTTTTTGGACGTTTAGGATATGAATGAATATGTAGAATCCAAAAAGACGTTAGAAAGAAGCGTTTGAATAGGAAATTCCTTGCACATTTTCAACAGTATATTCCTGACATTTAGAGTGTCGATTACATCATATGAGTGTGACCTAGGTATATCATTGAATGTAGGATATTATCTACAAAAACAACTGAGAAAAATGCACTGTCAGTAACACTCTAAACACTTTTAGTTATGTACCAACAGTTGTCACTACGATCAGTGCGGATATTTTCTCTTACTTGATGACAGAGCATTTTGTTGCGTTCTTTTCATGTTTTATGAATGAAGCTATTTACCGCACACATGTGGATGACACAGCAGTTTTTTTCTCTCCCTATAAATAAAGCGCGTCTAACGTCGTTCACAGCACCTCTTTCTACTCTCTCTCAGCTGGAAAATCTAATTTTATTCAAAAAAATATGCCGATTAAAGTTTATGGCTTGGCTATGTCAACATGTACACAACGTGTAACTACAACATTAGCCGAAAAAGGGCTCAAGTACGAATTAGTGAATGTAGACTTTGCCGCTGGCGAACACAAAGTAAGAGTTTTCCATGGAAACAAGTCATCTCGAGTGATGTTTCTTTATTTGCCCAGTCACCAAAGTATCTGGAAGAAAAACAACCATTCGGTGTTATTCCCGTCCTTATTGATGAAGATGGATTTAAAATCTATGGTTAGTTGAAATGAATTGACTCAGAACATTACTTGTTTATTTTTTCTATTTAGAATCGCGTGCCATTTGTCGCTATTTGGAAATCAAATACAAAGGCAAAGGTACGGAATTAATTCCAAGCAAAGATGCCGCTGCTCAAGGTCTTTTTGAACAAGCTGCATCCATCGAAACCGGCTATTTCGATCCATATGCTTCTCCAATCGTTTACGAACGTGTCTTCAAAAAGTAATATCGACAAATTGATTCTCGATCTTTTCTATCTGTTCTTTAAAATAGAATGAAAGGTCTCGGTGAATCAGATGAAGCACGAGTTGCAACATTGAAACAACAATTAAGTGAGAAACTAGATGTTTACGATAAAATTCTGTCCAAACAACCATATCTTGCTGGACAAGTAAATGAAATTGTCTTCGTAGATCATATTAATAATGTAATTCATATAGGAATTTACTTTGGCTGATCTCTTTCACTTACCATATGGTTCATGGCTTGTCAAGCTCGGCGAAGGTAATCTCTTCGAATCACGACCAAACGTTAAAAGTTGGTGGGACAGAATCACATCCCGACCATCGTGGAAAGCAGTTCAAGAATCGAAATAGATATATCAAACGCACAGACATAATTTAGATATCTACTATTGCATTTTATGTATTGTCTTTTACTTAGCTAAAATAAAAACAAACATTCTCGTCTACATTATTGCATTGTAATAGAAAGTATTTATTTCAAACTGAATTCATCTACATTTGCGTTTTTGTTTTCTTGTCACGAAAATGATCAGAGAGATGGATCGTTAAGGAATACAATGTGTTGGGGACTTTCGATGTTATCCAATTGAGAGACGAATGTGTATGTGCCATTGTCATAATTGTAAGAAAAACAAACTAAATTATTGGACTTTTGATTGGCAACCAGAAGAAACTTTTTTGTTGGATCAAACGTGAAGTATCGTGTAAATGAACCGTGGCAATCAAGATGTTCTTTTACATTTAAGACTTCTTTTTCGGCGTCTACATTCATATTAAAGATCACTAAATTCTCATCACCACGATTCGATACTAATAAATATTTCCCATCGGGTGTAAATTGTAATTCAGCGGTATAGTTCTNTTCTCATCTGTATTTGGTATTCGGAAGAAAAGTTCAATTGCTTTTTGTGCCTGATTGTTGCGAATATATCCTTCGATTCAAGAACTCATAATGTGACTAGATTAAAATAACAAGAACAAGTTACCTTTCATCATTATACTGTAAATAGCAACGGTTTTCTTCTCCAGTTTGTCAAAGAGCAACTGAGCATTATCAACATCTTTTGATTGCACTAAATACGACATGAAAGACGTTCTTATTCGACAATCATCTATTATTTACTATAAAAATCGATCAGAGATCCTATTGAATAATTGTTTTTTTCTATTAAAGATGCATATCGGTGATGTATACGGGAGCCAGCTTGAAAATCTTTTATGTTAGCACACGATTTCAGTGCTTGGCCAACAGCTAGATCTGTAATCATATCATGTTTTGTTTGTTCACATTCACGAAACAATTCTAAAGATCTTTTGAATTCCTTCATGTCATTGAGTTTTTTCATTTCGATACTCAAATTATGGTACGATCTGATCAGTTAAATCGACTTCAAATATCGATTAGATTGTATTTTCAACATCTTTGCCTTTGCTATTTGATTTGAATGAATGAAAATTTGTACATGAAGTAACGTGTGTGTGAATGAACGCGAGCTAATAAAATTATTTGATCCAGGTCAAACAAATCAGGAAAGCACTTTTGAAAGATGTCACTTGAGGACTCATATAACACTAAATAGTTATCATGGTGTTCGATTTACCAAATGACAAAGTATGCATATTGGAAGTGGGAAACAAATATTCGCGTTGTTTGACTAGTTCTATTGATAGAATCGTGACGTTTTACTGTTACCTTCCTTCCTGTAGCTGAGCATCACAAAATATGGTACATCAGTAACTGTGCTTTAAGAAATGACTATCGAAAAGAATACTTGCCACAGTATGTTTTTGGACGTTTAGGATATGAATGAATATGTAGAATCCAAAAAGACGTTAGAAAGAAGCGTTTGAATAGGAAATTCCTTGCACATTTTCAACAGTATATTCCTGACATTTAGAGTGTCGAATACATCATATGAGTGTGACCTAGGTATATCTTTGAATGTACGATATTATCTACAAAAAACAACTGAGAAAAATGCACTGTCAGTAACATTCTAAGTACTTTTAGTTATGTACCTACAGTTGTCACTACGATCAGTGCGGATATTTTCTCTCACTCAATGACAGAGCATTTTTTGCGGTCTTTTCATGTTTTATGAATGCAACTATTTTCTGCAAACATGTGGATGACACAGCAGTTTTCTTCCCTCCCTATAAATAAAGCGCGTCTAACGTTGTTCACAGCACCTCTTTCTACTCTCTCTCAGTTGGAAAATCTAATTTTATTCAAAAAATATGCCGATTAAAGTTTATGGCTTGGCTATGTCAACATGTACACAACGTGTAACTATAACGTTAGCCGAAAAAGGGCTCAAGTACGAATTAGTGAACGTAGACTTTGCCGCTGGCGAACACAAAGTAAGATCTTTCCATGGAAACAAGTCATCTCGAATGATGTTTCTTTATTTGTCCAGTCACCAAAGTATCTGGAAGAAAAACAACCATTCGGTGTTATTCCCGTCCTTATTGATGAAGACGGATTTAAAATCTATGGTTAGTTGAAATGAATTGACTCAGTACATAACTTGTTTATTTTTTCTATTTAGAATCGCGTGCCATTTGCCGCTATTTGGAAATCAAATACAAAGGCAAAGGTACGCAATTAATTCCAAGCAAAGATGCCGCTGCTCAAGGTCTTTTTGAACAAGCTGTATCCATGGAAATCAGCTATTTCGATCCATATGCTTCTCCAATCGTTTACGAACGTGTCACCAAAAAGTAATATCGACAAGTTGATTCTCGACCTTTTCTATCTGTGCTTTAAAATAGAATGAAAGGTCTTGGTGAACCAGATGAAGCACGAGTTGCAACATTGAAACAACAATTAAGTGAGAAACTAGATGTTTACGATAAAATTCTGTCCAAACAACCATATCTTGCTGGACAAGTAAATGAAATTGTCTTCGTAGATCATATTAATAATGTAATTCATATAGGAATTTACTTTGGCTGATCTCTTTCACTTACCATATGGTTCATGGCTTGTCAAGCTCGGCGAAGGTAATCTCTTCGAATCACGACCAAACGTTAAGCGTTGGTGGGACAGAATCACATCCCGACCATCGTGGAAAGCAGTTCAAGAATCGAAATAGATATATGAAACGCACAGACATAATTTAGATATCTACTATTGCATTTTATGTATTGTCTTTTACTCAGCTAAAATAAAAACAAACATTCTCGTCTACATTATTGCATTGTGATAGAAAGTATTTATTTCAAACTGAATTCATCTACATTTGCCTTTTTTTTTCTTGTCACGAAAATGATCAGAGAGATGGATCGTTAAGGAATACAATGTGTTGGGGACTTTCGATGTTATCCAATTGAGAGACGAATGTGTATGTGCCATTGTCATAATTGTAAGAGAAACAAACTAAATTATTGGACTTCTGATTGGCAACCAGAAGAAACTTTTTTGTTGGATCAAACATGAAGTATCGTGTGAATGAACCGTGGCAATCAAGATGTTCTTTTACGTTTAAGACTTCTTTTTCGGCGTCTACATTCATATTAAAGATCACTAAATTCTCATCACCACGATTCGATACTAATAAATATTTCCCATCGGGTGTAAATTGTAATTCAGCGGTATAGTTCTCTTGAATTGAATCTAAAATAAAACAACTGTAGTGTTAGTCTATT